TGCCCAACTGCCCTTGGCCTGCCCACGGCCTACAGCCCGCGTCTGGCCCAGGTTACCACTCAGATTCATTTGCAAAATGTGGCCTGGGCCTGGGCACTTTCAACCAACTGGCGCAGCGCAACTGTCTGAATTTCCCCATTGCGGGGTACCCTGAAAAACGAGGCCCTGAGGGCCTGTCGCGACTGCCTTCACTTAGGGCGGCCGACCTTGCTGCATATAGGGCCCCGTAGGGGCTAAGCGGGCGTAGCCTCACATTTTCCTTTTTGTGTGATATGTATGTGCGTTAGGGTACGTCATGTGTGCAGTTTTGACATGTTTGGATCAATAATGAAAATTTTGGCTTTTTGTTGAATTCGTTGGACGCTTCATTTTGACTCGGACAGTGTCTTTGTATTAGGGTTTCATAGTGTTTTCTTGGTTTTTTTTTTCGTTTTTTTGGCTTGTTTCCTTTTTTGATGCTTGCACTATGGTCTCATATCGTTTGTTTTTTAAATTTTTGATGAAATTCTTAACACAATTGCCAACGAAAACGGCGAATATTTGGGCCCCCGTTAACCGTCTCTAGAGCAGCACTGTACACAATCTGCACTAGTGCACTCTAGATGCCTACCGCAGTGTAATGCACAGACCAATTTAAAATAATTGGTGGCTGTGTCAGAGTAGATGCATTTGGGTTCAACAGGTAAGTTCAGATTCCTACAAAACGAAAACTGTTTCACTTTGATTAGTCCGCAAACAGAAAGCAAAAGGAACAGAAAACAGTTCTAACTAATGCTGTCTGTCAGATGTTAATGGCAGTACATCTAACTAATCAAAATAAAAATAGTATCATTTGCTGGGTCTGTTCACAGCATGGGATCTTACTCGAACTTATCACCTGAAATCTACCCCTTCCCCGATTCCCCTTGATTGTCACTTGACGTCAGCGTCCCTGAGCAATCCGGTTTGGCGTGCGTGACTAAAGGTGTGCACACGGCCCACCCCTGTGCCCTGAGTAGCTGCTGAGTTGGCCAGCCCTGCATTGTGTTTATCCTCGCGTGCAGCGAGCCTTACACCCATTGGCTGATCCGTAGGCAATGTAACGACCGCCCCCAAGTGTCATCAGGAATTATTTTACGTCGCAGCAGGACGACGATCACAGCCAATGGTTTCCCCAACCGGTGTTTATTTATAGACGCTCGGTACTCGTCTCTCCCATAGGGCTGGCCTGCCCTTCAGTACCCCTTCTATGAGCACAGCAAGCAGACAAGGACAAAGCAGCAAAGCATGCGTGCTCTACTCCCGGTGGGTTGGCATGGTGACCGTGACCCAGTGCTCTGTCCAGGGTCCTTCAGAAAGCACCACCCTCTCCTTCCAGATGCTCCACAAGAACAATGCCGACTCTCAAGGTTGAGCGCACACGACACCTCACAATGAGAGGACTCTTAAGAAGGAACTCGCAACCTCACGGTAAGAGGTGGTGAAGAGGGTAGATAAGGTTAAGAGCAACATACCTCATTATAGCTGTCCCCAACCACATATATTCTCACCAGATGACCTGATGGCTATTGCGATGACCAGTCACTGCATCAGCACAACCAGCATTATCTCGCCGTTCCACCTCAGCATCAATCAACCACCAGATAGTTATCATCACACTGCGAACACCCAATATACACACCGTAGCCTTCCTGGCAATCCCCTCTCCTCCTGGGTCGCCACACCTTGTCTCCGCCCTCCTCACTACACACCCCCTGCGGCCTCACTCACCAAGCAGACCACATGTATGTACCGCATAGGCAGAAGACAAGTGCCAGATGAGCGCAACGTACCACAACTCCGATATCAAATTGCAAGGAAGATGAGCAATAGCGAACTTCAGCAATCAAACACCATCATACACATGAGACTAGATAGTCGTGACCTCGAACCAAAAGCAGAATTGTACCACAGTTTCACCAAATAAGAGTACACCAGAAGTTCATAATTGACAAATGCTGGAATAGTCTCATGATCATCAACGAACAACCAACGTTGATATCCTATCTGGCGCTCAGCGCCCAGACTACAGATGGCAGATCCTATCTAGCCTAGACTACAATGCCGAAGATGAGGACAACAACTCTCCCGAAGTACGAGCAGATAGCGGCCAATGCCGCACGCTTCCAGCACCAGGTATGTCTCTCGCATCACTCACAACCTCGTTCCCCAACACACAGATGCCACATGCACCCAAGGACCACCCTGCGCCTCACCCAGCTCCCAACAGCGCAGCTTGGCTATGGCTGCCTGCTCCTTCCAGCTCGCCCGTGAGCGCGTGAGCGCTAGCCAGCTTCAGCGCAGCAGCGCTTGCGCAGCATGCAGCCAGCACC